GCTCCCTTTGAGCAAAATTGTCTGTGGCCATCCCACTGAGACCCTCCTACAAAGCAATCCTAGGGTCACATCATCACCAGTGGGGCCACAAATGGGCTGTCTTAAGCTCAGTGGTAGACCACATGCCTAGCATTCAAAGGGCCCTCTAGCACTGAATGAGAGAGAGAGAGAGAAAGAAAGAAGGAAAGAAAGAAAGAAAGAAAGAAAGAAAGAAAGAAAGAAAGAAAGAAAGAAAGAAGAAATAAAATATTCTCCAGGACTGGTGGCACATGCCTACAATCCCAGCACTTGGGAGATAGAGGCAGAAGGACTGGGAGTTCCAGGTGTGCCTGAGCTACACAGCAATGGCCTGTCTCAGAAAGATCAACCATCATCAACAACAAAAAGGAGTATGATTCCTGTCTCCTCCCTTGAGTTGGATTCTGTGATTGCTCAAGCAATAGACTACGGCAGATTTCTGGGCCTGGGCACTCTCAGTTCCTGGCTCTTCAGGTTTTTGCTCTTGGCCTCCAGCCACAGCCTAGAGAAAGCCCAAACTCCTCCATGAAGAACCCACAGAGAAAGGAACGAGAGACCAGAGTCAACACAGCTTGCTTGCCACTGAGGGCACCATTGTGGAAACCAGTCTTCTCTTCCAACCCCAGCGAAGTCACCCCAGTCAAGCTGCTTGGAGCCAAGACAAGCTGACCTTCCCAATCCCCCTCCCAGTTGCAGACCTGTGAGCAAACTAAATTTGAGCTGATTTCTTAGGCAGCAATAGAAAATGTAACAGATCACCAGTAGGTCTCTGCCTTCCATTCCTAGATGAACAGAGGAGGAGGAGGAGGAGGGGAAAAGGGAGGGGGAGGAGGAGGAGGGAGACTTTAAAAGATCTATGCTCGGGTACCAACATCATGAGTTTAGTTTTAACCTGGGAGTCTGAATTATTTTGAGATATCTAGGCTGGGAAGTTATGCATCTCTTGGTCTAATGGGACTCTCGCTGTTTTGAAGATGGGCATTTTAGAATCATCTGGGAGTGAAGGGACAGCTAAAGCTTCGGGTGGGTATGCAGGGCACTGGGACTGAGCATGAGGGGCAAGCTACTCTGTGGCAGAGGAGAATAAAGCTGTAGAGGCAGAGAGAACCAAGGCCCCCAACAGAGAAGGTCAGGAGAGCTCTTATTTTAGAACACAGTGTCTTAGGAAGGAGGGAGAGATTAGCAGGACTGAACAGGCTAGGCGTACAAGCACGCACTGGCCAGGTACACTGGCTTCCTGGGGACCAGCAGCACCATAATAAGCAACATGGCTGGGTTTCAAGAAGCCCTGGGCTGAGATCTGAAGGGCAAAGGCAAAGTGAGAATCATAGCTGGGTCCAGGAACCCATTCTTGCCTAGAGCCTCACGGTCTCAAACTGTGGTCCCAGAAATCCCCCCCCCCCCCCCCGACACACACACATACACAGAAGCTTCTTAGACATGCAGAACCTCAGACCCACCCTGGGCCTTCCAAATCAGTGTATGTTTAACAAGATCCTAGGCACCCCGTGTGTACAGTAAAGTGTAAGAATTCAGGTAGCTGAGTTCCTTTAGTCAAAGCACCAAACTGGAACTTCGGGAGGCAGCCAGAAATGTAAAACTGAGAGTAAAATAATACACAGGAGACCAGGGATGGCTGATGATGAGATCTACTCCTCCTCAAGCTCCAATTTCTAACTGTAAAAACAAAGCTGCACATCAGAACCACATGGGTCATTTTTCAACGATCAGAGAAGCATATAGCCTGTTTGTCTGGATTCTGACCCAGAAGCTATGAGGGAGCCTAGTGCCTGGGTTTTTACTGTCCTGGTGATGCTGATAGGCCTGTGTTGATGGACCTCTGAACACACCCCTCTTAGGCTGGCCGTTCTTCATATCCTTTCCCCTATGGGGCTGAGATTGATGCTGGTTGGGGCATTGTAATTCTGATTGTGTTTCTGGCAGGCATATATTGCTCTTCATCTGTGAGCACTGGTTTCTGATGTGTGCTCCAGTGCCAGCAGGTGGTGCCCAGGCCTGAGGGGAGGGAGTGGACCTTAGGGATTAGAGTGGCAGATGGACCCAGGAACCTGAGCAGATGGAGGACAGGATGTCTGCCATGCACTTGCACTAACACTTATGGGCTGACGCCACCCTGGCTCTGACCCAAACACACCCTCTTGGGGTCAAGAGTTACTGGGCACAAGAAAGGTGCTCTCTGATCTGATTCTCATTAGATATCTCTGCCTGAGGCCATACCCTGCATACTTCCCAGGCTGGCCCAGGCTTCTAACATAGGGGAACCAGCTTCAACCAACAAGCAACCTAGAAATATAACTCTCAAAATCCCACCATGGTACAAGCACCCATTAATTTAATGAAACTTTTTTTATGTGGGAGAAGAAAAAGCCTTTTCTCTCATATGGTATGATATTTTGCAATGAGGGACTCCTTTATTTTTCTGTGAAAAGCAGTATTTTCATAAGTTTTTCTAATTTAGCATAGAAAAGCAAGGACACTTCCTGTAGTTCTATGAATGTGTGTGTGTGTGTGTGTGTGTGTGTGTGTGTGTGTGTGTGGTAGGTGCACATGCATGTGGGTATGCAGTTGTATGGGTGTCTGGTGTTGTCTTCCTCTATCACTACCCACCTTAATTTTGAGACAGAGTCTCTCACTGAACCTGGTGCTCACCATGTTGGCTAGCCTGGCTGGCTGCTGAGCCCCCAGCATCTGCCTGTCTTCCCCCTCCCCACAAAACCAGGGTTCCAGACGTGCAAGGCCATGCTTAGCTTTTGTATGTAGGTGCTGGGGATTTGAACTCAAGTCTTCTTGATTTCACACCAAGCATTCCTACCCACTGAGCCTTCTCCCCAACCCCTTTAAGTCATTTAAAAAATAATTTTCTAGAGTGCCAACTTATACCCTGTCCATGTGACCTTAGGTGTTATCTTTGTCTTTCCCTGAGCACAGTGAGCCAAGGGCTACCTCAGCAGCTCAGTGTCTCCCCCACCTACCAGCCAAATGTACGAATCTGTGGTAGGCAAAGTCAGGTAGAGAAAGAAGCCAGTCAAGCTCCACCTGCTTCAGGAAGCCCTTCCTAATTCCCTTCCCTGGTACCAAGCAGGAAGTGGCACTCTGATGTGGCAGAGTGGGGAGAGCTGTTTGACTGCTTGTAGGTTTGATCTGGGAAAGCTTTCCTTGCTCCCTGGGGATTGGCAGTGGCTATTCCACCACCGAATGTATCCACTTAGCAAATCCTGTCCATGTGCCTGGCTTCCTCTCCTTACCAGTCCAGACCCTTCCTCTTGGAGTAGGTAGAAAAGTGGAGGAAGAAAAGGCAGTGGGCATGTGATTCTGAGCCCAGCGGGCAGGAGAGAGAGGATGGGGTGAGGTAGAAGACACTCTTATCAGTGCATCAGGAAACATGCCTCAGAACTAGTTCTGTCAGATGGGGTTGTCCAGGGGTCACTGGGCCTGACTGTCCAGGAAGAGGCCAGCCAGCGGGCTCCAGGCACCTCAGTTCGCGGCACTCATCTAAGCCGGGCAAGCCGCTGTGTTCTTCACCTTCAGTTTTCCCCTAAGCCAATATTACTTCCTTTTATGTGCACATGGGTTAGTGCCAGGCTACAGGGCTGTGTGTTGGGATGCGTGTGTCTGTCTGTCTGTCGTCTGTCTGTCTGTGGAGTGTGTGCACGCAGGGCATGGAGGACAGTTCTGGCTCAGGAGAGGATCAGAGAATCACGGACTCGATTCCTTTCGGCCTCCCTCTCCTTGGGACTGAGCCTCCTCCATGGGATCTGATGGCTGAGGCTGATGAATCCAGACTCCTCATCTCTAGGGCACCTGCATAAACGATGTGCCTAGTAAGGAGCTGTATGTATGAGGGAATGAGCTGGCCATCTAAGTTGATGAAAGGGGCCTTCTGTCTCAGGAAGAACATGATCCAGCCTGGCTAATTGATCTCTTCCAGGCCTACCGCCATACTGTTTGCACCAACCCCTTTTTCCCAGCAAGCTGTCCTTCTCTCAAGGGCCCAAAGCTGTGTTTCAGAAATGGGGCTAGAGAGGAACACTACAGACATGGGCGGACTAAGATGTGTGGTGGTCCAGGCTTGCCAGGATATGCTGAAGGGAATGCTAAACCAAAGCTCCCGGGCTCTGCTTCTCCACACTCCTCAGGGCTCCTGGGTTTCCTGTATAGTTCTCACTTCTTGGAAGCCAGCAACACTTTCTGAATTACAAGCTGGTAGCCAAAACCACTGAACTAAAGGCATTCCTAAAACTTCCCCAACCCTACATCTCAACTTCCCATCTCCACTCTGTTCCTCCAGGGTCCAAACACCCTGTTGCCAGAACTTCCATTCCAACCTTCACCCACTCCACGGATCCCCACACAACCACGCTGATGTTTAGCACCTGATTTGGATTCAGCCACAAACCCACAGAAGTCTGCTTTTCATCTAAGCTACTTTCCTGCTTCAGAGATTTCAACGCCCAGAGTCAGGCAGGGTGCAGAGCGCTGGCCTTTAGAAAAGTTCCTTCTAGCTTGTTGCTGCTCTGCGCATGATACTAAGTTCCACTGTCCCTCTGCCTCAGTTTCCCTAAAAGAAACAAAGAAGTTAACACTCTTACTACTGGTTTTAAGGTTAAAACCCTAGATAGTGACTATATCTAGATCCATATTCTGGACTTTCTGGAACAATCCTGACTTCAAATACCATATTTCCCTTGTCAGGGTGTGTCTGACTATTTGAGTTTTTCATTCAGTGGCCTGGGAGTTTATTTACTAACATGGAGAGGAGAACCATTTTGATATGGACTTTGGCCTGGAAACTGCCTCCCTATCCAACAAACAATAGAACATGTAGCTCTGCCTAGTGGGACACAACACTTCTGGGTCCAGAATAGGTGAAGGACACTAGGACAGCCTCCCCCTCAGCCCTCAACCATGTGCCTCACTGCCCCCCCCCGCCCCAGTGCTGGACAGGTGAGGGCTTTACTCACCTGCACAGAGGGCCCACAGTACAGGCCCCACCTTCCCCACCATCGTCTCGTGCCTTCTTTGCGCCAAGTCCAGCCTGGCACTAGCAGACACTGGACAAATCCGATGGCTGAGGAGCCTCTGGCCTGGCTCAAACTGAGGTCCCTGAAATTCTCCTGCCCACCTCTGGAGACCTAGACCACAGGCCCCGCCCCTCCAATGGACTGGTAGGTGAGCTCACCTAGGGGCTGGGCCCATGCTCCACCCACTCCACCAGAGGGCCCAACAGCCGTCTTGTCCACTCTCCCCTAGAGTCAGCCGCCTCTCTGCCTTCTCCCTCTTTCTCAGAGGGGCAAAGTCCTGGATTTCTCAGTAGGTGTGGGCTTCTCATAACTAACAGGAAGTTGTTGTCTTGTAATAAAAAAGGGAAATATCTCAGAGGTAGGATTCCAAACTAGTAAAAGAAAGGTGTTGCCCACATTTGCTGAAGCATTTTAAAACCTGATATAATCTTTTTCTCTTCTCTGATGCCCACACCAGGACAGAGACACAGTTGTGGAGGAGACAGGAAGTTCCTGTGCTCAGCTTTGGTGACCTAGCTGGGAAAGTGGCAAATACACAAGGAGACAAGATAATGTGTCTTGGTTTTCCTAGGACTGTCCCAGTCTCAGCCCCAAAGTCTCATCCTAAGCAAACTGAGGCGTTTGCCACTCTCCTTCAAAGGTGACAGATGCTGTGGGAAGCAGCTCTCCAGGAGAGCTACCACTACCAGGTTCTGTCAAAGAAGTTCTATATATTATAATATGATGACATTATGTCATCTAAATGTTTTTCATTTAAAAATATTCCAGAGTCTTCTGTATTCACACATATAGCACTGCTAACTTCTGTTTACTGGTTAATAATATTCCACTGTATTTATCTCTTCCAAGTTTGCTCATATTTTTTTTAAGGCATTCAGGAACTTTAGTGAACAAAATTGCCCTCTTTAGCCTTGCATCCTAAGAGAACGGGATGATGGATGGAAATAATCATCAGGAAATTACAAGGCATGTCCTCACCAATTAAGTGGTATACAAAAGTCACATGCATGTGTATACACAGATGTCACATGGAGGCAGGTGCTCTGGATGCTTCTGCTGAGGTAGGATAATATTTCAGTCTTCCTTGTGGTAATTCCTCATGTGTCAATGGTACGTGGAGGATTGGAGGCATCTGGTATGGCAAATGGAGCACCCAGAGGGCTTCTCTGCTGTGTGAATTCTCTGGTGAGCCACCAGATTCGTCTTGTGGCTGAAGAACTTCCCACACATGCTGCATTTAAAAGGCTTCTCCCCTGAGTGGATGATCTAATGAATTCGGAGTTCTGATTATTGATAGAAACTTTTGTGACTCCCCACAGAAAACTGTCCTCTTTTTCCTATGCCTCTTCTGATGGGTTAAACAGTAACAGCGATGCCTAAATAGCTGCTGACACTGCTCACATTTGTATAGTTTCTTTACCCTGTGGTGGGATCTTTCTCGCCACCTTTCACATGGGGAGTTTCTCTCATGACTCTTGTGTATAGGGTTAGGCTCAGAGGTGCAGGGAAACCCTGTTTGTACCTCCACAGGGACATCTTCATAAGAGGGTTCCATTACAGACACTTCTTGGGACCTAGAGTTCCCTTGGCTTGCTACTCTGGCACCTTGAGGGTTTCCATCAGAAACACCTCCCTCTTCAGGCTCAGGAGAGTTCTCCTGGATAACGAATAGGGACTCTGTCTGATTTCCTTGGCCTGGTAGTCTGTCATCCACTTCAGTAGCTCTTCATCTTCATGACCATATCCAAGGGACCATCTTGGGGAGGCTGAAAGGGTGTCCTTGCATGGTCTTCTGTTGGCATTTTTGCTGACCTCTGTTCTTTCAAATACATGATGACTTCTTTTAAGGGCATATGCTTAGGAAAGAGGGCTTCCTCTCCTTGCATGAAGACATGCACCCAGACAGGAGGCTTCAAGCAATCATCAGTCAGGTCCTCCATGAACTTCTCCATGTTTCTGCCACTTGACACCCACTTCTCTATCAAGGCAGACTTGTCCTTGCAGCATCCAGTGAGAACAAACTGCTCCAGGATCAGCTGAGACATCATCTCCTCCTTGGTATGCTTTTTTGGCTGCAACCAGGGGTTAAACCTCTCACAGAGGCTCTGCAGTTCCTGCGTTGCATATGAGCCATTGCGATGTGGAGGTGAACTGAGCTGAGCACTTGGAAGGTTAGAGAGCTCTCCTGACTGTGCAGTTGAATCCTGGGTTGGTTTAACATCTAAGATGTTTAATTCAAGCTCGTCTGAAGATGGTTTAGAGGGTTCAGGTTTTCTGAGATGGGAAGCCATTCTTGTCAAGAAGTTTCAGAAAGATTCACCTTCGTCAATTCAGACTCTGTTGCTTTTGATTGGTATGTTTCAACAATGGGTGGTTTGTTAAAAACGCTTTTCCTTTTGGTGGGGAGGGGTGTGTCTTTTTTGAGACAGGGTCTGCCTGTAGCCACAGCTGACCTGAAACTCGCAATATGGGCCAGGCTGGCCTTGAACTCACAGAGATCTGCCCGCCTCTGCTTCCTGAGTGCTGGGACTAAAGACGTGTACCACCACACCTGGCTAGCTTACCTCCTTTCAAGTGAGTTTCAAATGGGGTGATTCAATGAAGCACAGCGAGCTGAGCTGTGCCTGGTTTTCTGCTCTGGTTCAGCTCTGGTTCATATTTTTATTAGACTGTTGGTCTTAAGCTTATTGATCTCTAGTAGCTCTTTGTATATTGGAGAAACTGACCTTTGTATGTAATAAGTATTGCCAGTGCTTCTCAAATATTTCTTTGTATTATGAATTCAAAATTCTGTAAAAAAGTTATTTACAGCAATCTTTAGTGGATGTTAGGTTTCAGTTGACATACAAAAGTTATTATTTTCTATTGATTACATTTTGCTTAGGCACCACATTGAATTCTCCTAGTGTATGTAATAATTCTTCAGTCCCAACATTTTTTTAACACCATTGCCAAGTCAGTCCTAATACCCAGTCCCCATGATGCCATTTCTCTTCTCAGGCATTGCTGCTGACTCTGAATAACCTAACAAACAAAACCTATCCCTTAAATTGCCCTTAAAATGCTCTAGAATTTCTTCTCCAATATTGCCTCTTTTTCAAAAGTTATCTTCTAGAATGTATAACCTATTCTCTCCCCATACTCAGACATCCCTTCAGACCAGAATTCATTCTTTCCTGCCCAGAACTTTGTGCTGTGCTCTCTGTAATCCCTGTTATATCAACTGCTTTGCTCTAACTTATCCATATCACTATTTGTCCCATGAAGCCTTCCTCGACTTCCTCATTCAGAAGGGCTTTCTCCCTCATGCGATTCATTACAGCATTCTGGGTTTCTTTTAGGACCAGAACTATATTCTGTCTTACGCTGTGGTTAATTTTGGTCTGTGTCTCATGCCTCATAATAAACTGTGAGCTCATTCATTCATCCAGCCAATTTCTAATAACACTACATTGGGCAATGTTCCATCTAGCTAGGAAGATGGGCAACTTTGAGCTATGCATCTAACTTTAGTCAAGTACAGTGCCTGATATATAGTAACCAGTAAATATTCTCAAACGTGAAGATAGCTAGATGGAAGGATGCATGGATGAATGGGTAATCGCAGAACATGTGAATGAGAGGGTGAACCAGATGTAGGTGGAAACATGGAGACAGAAGAATGCTTGGAATCACAGAAAGAACAAGATGAGTGGGTTAACTGACAGTTTATTGGGCTTTGTTTCGATCTTAATGATAGTGGAAGGAGTATTATGAGATAGGGTAGGTCATGGGTTCATTTGAAGCTTATGAAGCTCGCAGAATTTTTATGGTACCCAAGTCACCAACTCACCATCACCAGGCATGAGTGTCAGGGCGGGGATGGATGTATAGGGGAGGTACAATTTGCCTACTGTAAGGTCCTCGGGCATTTCTGCTAAAAATGTCATCCTGATTGTGAGCAATGACTTCTCTTTAATGACAACTAGGTGCTCTCCAAACACCTGTCCACCAAAGGACCCTCCTGTTCTATATAATTGGTATTTTCTTTCTTAGGCCTCTCCAAGTTGCTGTGTGGCTGAGGCAAGTTTGTTTATTCTTTTAGGTATGCAGATTTGGACTATCTTCTGGAAGCACTTTGATCAGGAAGCCTTGGGCACCACAGGATGAGCTTTCTTTCTGTCCCCTAAGTGTGAGACTGTTCCAGGTCCACTGCTAAACATCAGTGTCTGAGAATGGGCCAGGAGGGAAAGAGTTAAATGAAGCCTGCTTTCCAGGCTGAGTCCAGACCCTGCATTCCTTCCTCCCAGAGATCTGCCAGCCTATGGGGCCAGAGGCTAAATTTAGAGTGGCTAAGGTTTCTTGTTAACAGCTGGCCCCTCGGAGTAGAAGCTCTGAAGAGAGAAGAAAGCTTGGTCTCTCACTAGTCGGAGCTTCTGGTCATTTTACTGAGGCCCTTGTTGTTGGTGTGGATATACAGGCCCACAGTGAGTATGCTCTCCCCTAGCCTAGCTTGGTGGGTTAGGACTTAATAGCAACTGGGTGGCAGCTCTCCCCACAGCCTCAGGCCCCAACCATGGCATGTGGAACCAGTTTCCAGGGACTTAATAGGCTATCCGATGGCACTTACACTGAAGGCCGTGGCTTTGTTAGATTCACCGAAGGGGCCTGCTGCCCTGCCCAGTGAAGATAAAATGTATGAACATTAGTATAGATGGGAAGAGGTTCATTTTAGTCTGGGGACTTCACTGTCCTTTAACCTCTTCAGCTGTGGTTATGGCAAACCTCTGCTTCCTCCTGCTGCCTCTTTGCCAGTATCTGTGAAAGGAGCCAAGTTGTCACTACTCAAATATTGTGTTACTTCATGGTATCCAGTTAATGATAGCTGAGCTGGTCTTATTGGTTTCTCTTTGGGTCCTTTACCCACTGGAACATTAGCATGGGGTGGCCTCCCCATTCCCAATTCACTAAGGTGACATTGGCAACACACCCCCTCCTCCCAACAAAGCCACTAGGGAACTGAGTCTGAGTTCCTAACCACCCTTTTCTTGTCAAACTGACAGAGCCTGAAAGGCTGTCATGGCGACTGGAGGAGACCCAGAGGAGGAGCAGGTAGTTCCAAGTGAGGAGGATGAAGCCGATGTGAGGGCCGTGCAGGCCCGCTACCTCCGGAGCCCTTCCCCCAGCCAGTGAGTGCACAATGCCGATCTCTACACCCCTGGGGCTGGGCTGGGGCTGGGGAAGGGACTGGGGAGCATGGTGAGGAGTGGAACCCATGGGTGCACAGCCACCCGCAGGCACACTCAGCAAACATTCCTGAGCACTGTTACTGTGTCGTGCCTTCTGGAGGAGGTGGGTGAGGGCTGCATTCAGGCTGAGGTGAGGATGCATGGTCACTGGTGAATCTAACTTTGGACTCCATGCTGCAGTTACTGAATAGGATTTAGGACTTTCTCACCTTGAGAGGCAATGCCACTGTCCTGTGGGGGGAACAAAGGTACTGCTGGCAGGTAGACTCCATGATGCTGTGCACTGTAACCAAGACTGCTGTGTACCCACAAACTCACTTCTTCTTCCTGGACCCATGAGTCCAGGACCTTCTCCTTCCTTGCAAGGAAGCTTGGCCTTGGTGACTTCTAGCCAATGAACTACGATCAGGAGGGAAATGGCCATTTTCAGGAAAAACCACCCAGAGAGCCTTCTGCTGTCCTCCTTTCTGCCATGATGCTACTAAGCACAGTGACTTTATAAGCCATGCTTTTAAATAGTGGGCCCAGAAATCAGTACATGCTAAGATTCTGAATCTCAGCTCAGGTACCTAAGAATTTACCAGAATGAAAAAGATACCTCCATTTGGTGTAACAGCTAGTATCACCCTGTAAGATATACAAGGCTGCCATGCCCCAACCATGCTATAATAATGCTGTAATACACAAGGCTACCTTTGCTTTATGGAAACATGGGAGAGTATGGGCCCAGCTTTTTTTCTTTTTTCTTTTTCTTTTTTTGAACTCACAGAGTTGCCTGCCTCTGCCTCCCAAGTGTTGGGATTAAAGGCATGTGCCATGAGTATGGGCCCCTCTTAAACCTCTCAACCCTGATTGTTTTTCTAAGTGGAGCCATAATGCTCTTATAAAATGCTGAATTTTGAAGGCAAGGTCTCCAAGCTCCATCAGGCCCGAGTACCTGCTCTGTAAACAATGAGCACCTGTCCTTGCTCCCATCTTATGAAAGGAGGAAAGGAAGACAGGGCAGTCATATTACCAATGAATACAGCTACTCCAGATGTGCAGAAGTCTAGTCTAACTAGGACGTGCCCCCAGAGGATCCCTCATGCCTGCCATTCTTTTGGGCCTCTAGCTCCATTCTCTGGGACTTTTCCTTGTCCACTGTCCCCCACTGCCATGTGTGAAGTGAGTGGGAGAGCATGACTTCCTTGAAAACTGACTTTGGCAGACTGTCCCATTCATGGAAAATTGGGGACTTATACCACCTCGAAGCTCATAGGTTCTTTGAAAGTATGACCCTTTCAAAAACTTGGAGTATGATCTATGTACAGAGACAGTCCTGTGTTAGTAAGCACACCTAAATTTCTTTCCTAGATTTCAGCCCTCATTTATGTCTTTCCTCTTCGACTCAGCTTAATAACAGCTATCTTCAAAGATTACCTGAAACCATAAATTTGGGTGGGAAGTGTGGGAACATTATAATTTCTAGTGTGATTGTTAGAAAGATCTGTAACAGAATGCATATCTACTGTGCAACTAATGAGGGAGGAATGCAGCAATAAAATCAGAGAGAAAGAAAGAAGGAAGGAAAGAGAAAGGGAATGGAAACAATGCGGAAAGTATAGAAAGTAACAAGGAAAAACTAGACTTTAAACTGAAATATATAATTACATTAAATTTGAATAGATTAAATATTCCAATTAAAGGGCTAAAAGTATTTGTAAAGCCCACATGCTTTGTATAATGGCAGGCTGACAAGGAGGAAACCTTGTACTATTCTGTTCCAGTTGCTCATAATTTCAAAATTTAGTGACATAAAACAAGTTAATTATATTGCTAATTATGCACCTGGAAAGGCACAGTGGAATCAGCTTGTCTCTGGTCTAGGGAGTCTGAAGCCTCAACTGGAAGGATTTGAAGACTGGGGATGACTTTATGGCTAAGGGTAGCTCAACAGCTGGGGGCTGGTGTCACAGGCATATTCATATGATTCTGTTTATGTTGTGACTCACTGGGCTGTTATTCAGAACTCCTAAGACTATCTTTCCATATAATTTCTCCATGTGGGCCACTTTGGGCTTTCACAGAGCATGACTGCTGAATTTCAAGAATGGTATCCCAAAGAGCAAGACAGAGTGTGCTGATTGTTTTTAGTACCTAGACAAGAAGTCACACAGCATCTCTTCTGCTACTCTGCTGTCAAAAAAGAAAAATCCACAGTGTTTCAAGGAAAAGCCATATAGACTCCACAGTCTATCAAAAGAATATCGAGGTCACCTTATAAAGATATAAAATTGGGTGGGAAATGTTGGGGTCATCTCAGGAAAATACAAGCTGCTGCAAGTGCAGACACAAACAGAAAACCAGCCCGTGAACCGTGTTGGTACCAGTCAAGACAGATTTTAAGATAAGCATGCTAGAGAAAAAGAAGGAAATTTCATAGTGATCAAATATTCAGTTCAACAGGAGGCATAATAATTTTAACTATCTATGACTTAATACTGTAGCTTCGAAACACATAAAGCACAAAAAAGAAAAACCTGACAGAACTGAAAAATTAAAGTTCACAATTTTAGCCAAATTAAAACAAAACAAAAAATTCCTACCTTAACAAATGATAGAATGAGGCAAATAAATCATGAATAACAGAAAGTCTATGCAAAACAAACAAAATTAACCCAATTGGCATTTATAGAATATATATACATACATACACACACACACACACATACACATATACACATATCCAACAACTTCAAGTTACACATCCTTATCATGAACACATGAGATATTTACCAAAACAGACCATGTAGTGGCTATATTTCTATCAACAAGTTTCTCTGACCATAGTTCAAGTAAGGTGCACTAGGAAAAATGTACATTTTACCAACTGTCTTCTGGTGTGATTGGGTTTCTCAGATCATTGGTTGAGGAAGCTAGTTAGTTAGTTAATTAGTTAGTTACTTAGTTCACACAAAGGTTGGGGCAGTCACTGAAATGGGAGTGGGGAGGCAGACTTTCCCAGTTTTAAATCAAGTTATTCCACTACAGGACAAAAACACTTGTTAATATTGAAGTTCCATTGGCATTTAACCCTTAGGCCTCTAGCAGCCCATCCCCCTTCCTGGGCCAGACTAGGATGAGACTGAAAGACTCTCAAGTGGAATGTGCTAAGCATCCTTAAGGCATGACCCCACATCCAGAGCAAATTTTCTGCAGGATCTCAGTGGTTCCTGCTGAATCCCACTGGTTTTTAATGTACCTATTAGTTTGTGTGGGCTCCTTCTAACTAGTTCTGACAAGCACCTATCAAATCAGCTACTCCTTTTCAAAAACCTTCATGGAAGACAAATACTTCCAGGACTATTTCTTCCCACCACATCATGGTAAAGTCAGAGGTGTGGGCTACATGTTGGTACATGTTTTCTTATATACAGCACAGGCTTTTGAGTAAGCAATCCCACTGCATTTCACAGAACCAGGCTTAAACCAACCCAGATGAATGCATGTACAGTGGGGTTTTGGGTGTCTGTGTGTGATCATATGTATGGATGCATGTGTTCATGTGTGGTGTGCACATGTGTGTGAATGCCAGAGGTCAACTTCAGGTATCATTACTTAGGCACCATCCACTTTGGTTTTGAGACAGGCTCTTTCACTGGTCTGGTTTGCTGGACAGTGAGCTCCAGCCATCTAGAGAATTAGTCCTCCCAAGAGTAGAAACTGCAAATGACAGAAACCTCCTGTCCACAAGATAAGCCCAACACAGAGGCAAAGCCACTGTCACACACTACCTGGGACCTCAGGGGAAGGGGCTGTGGAGAATGCAGCCACTCAGAGAAAGTTGGAAGTGCTGCCAACATCAGGGAGTCCTTCATTCTCCAATCTGTCCCACCATCAGTCCACCACTAGATGAATATGTAGTCATGGCTCATGGTTATGACCACAGCTCCAGCTCACAGGAGGGGATGCCAACTCCTGTTCATGGGAGGGGACCACAGCTCCAGCTGACAGGAAGGGATGACAACTCCTGTTCATGGGAGGGGACCACAGCTCCAGCTCACCAGAGGGGCCTACACACAGCTCCAACACCTGGCTTTGTTTGTGGGTTCTAGGGTGCTAACTCAGGTTCTCATGTTTCACTGACTGAATTATATGTCCCCAGTCCCATGCATGCTGTTTTTAAAAATGAAAAGACAGCTGCCAGACTGGGAGAAAATATTTTCAAATTGCATATCTGACAAAGAATTTGTACCTAGAATGTATATGTGTGTATATACATTGCTTGTTTTTCTGAGTCTGTGTTACTTCACTTAGTATAATTGTTTTTAGTTCCACCCATTTACCAGCAAATTTCATTTCTTCTTCTGATTTTGAGACAGGGTCTCCTTGTAGCCTCAGCTGCCCTGGAACTCACTATGTAGACCAGGCTGGCCTTGAACTCACAGAGATCCACCTGCCTCTGCCTCCCGAGTGCTGGGATTAAAGGCATGTGCCACCATGCCCAGCTAGAATATATTTTTAAACTCTCAAAATTCAACTTAAAAATAGACCAACGATTTGAACATATGCTTCACCAAAGGAATATATACATACACATAGATATGTATCCATATATCATCAACTAGCATGTGAAAAAAATACTCAAATCCTTAGTCATTAGAGAAATTCCTGCTAAAGTCATAATGAATCACCACTATAGATTTACTAAAACATCTGAAATTAAAAAGACTAGCCCTCCCAGATGTTTATGAGAATATGCAGTATCTGGAGCAGTCCTGTGCTAGAAATATACAGTGTAGCCATTTTATAAGTTTTCAGTTTGTTACAAAGTTAAACATGTACCTGCCTAAAGGTATACCTATATCTGTATGTTCCAGACATTCCAGATATTACCCATAAGGAAGGAAAGGTGAGTTTCATATAAAGAATGTACATGGGTGTTCATGGCAGTTTTATTC